TGTTGTAATCATGCCCAGCTATCCTCCCGTGCTGGATGATCCTGTTGACAGAAATGGCTACTGGTGCCTGGAGCTTAGCACCTGCATCAGTTTAGACCAGCAAAGTTCTTCATAGCTGAATGCCAAACCTTTTATACCATTATCATCTCCTATGGACCTTATACCTAGAATCTATTAAGCTTAAATGTTAAAAAAAGTAAGCTGTTTGTTTGAGACAAACTCCACAGAATTGGTGGTGGGCATACCATATTTCTTAATTGTTATTTAATGTCCTTTGGTAATGCCTACTGTCAGATCATATGCCATTGAACATTTTACTAACAATTTATACATGAGAAAGAGTTACTTTACGCAGCCGCAGTATGAGGTTCTGCCCATCTGCATACAGACTTTCCCTCCCTGACAGTGAAGTTAATAAATGCAAATTAATTCAGTCCTCAGCATGTGATGTAGGGGAGTATCAAGTAAACCTTGAAGTCAACAGAAATAAATCCCACAAGAGATCAAATTACAAGCAATCAGCAAACTTATGGTATTTAGCCCATATTCACTCAGCTTTCATTTCAGAAAGAGAATTAAAGGAAAGGCACAGGTGACAATTGTCTTCCTGTTTGTAAATATTTTAGTAGTTGTGTATTGCATTTCTGGTTGAGTCTCCGGAACATAAAAATGACTAGTATGTCACAGGTCTGACATCTATTTGCACCTTTGTTACAATTGTCTTGCTTAACGAACACAGGAAGCTTGTTTCAATTTGATTTATTTTCGTTGCAACTATTGTTTTGCAGTGTTTTGTCTTGCTCCTGTAATTTTGAATTTAACATCAGGTAGCTTGCAGTTACATACCTTTTTACACCCCTACCTTAATACTTGCTTGTCAGACTGGCTTCCTAGCTACGGCATCTCCCACTACTGATTCCCCAGTCTACCCTTGAGTCACTACAATAATAAAAACAATGGATTTGCTTGGAGGAAACACAATGGCTGGCAATTTGCAAAATCCGAATTAACCGTTCATCGTACTTAATCCCCATGCTCCAGTAATTTTGTTTTTCCGAATTGGTTATTCATTAATTCAGCTTTTCCGCACAGCAAAATTCCCTAAAGATATCACCTTGAATGATGTCACCAGCACTTACAGTTTAAGCAAATATGTTCAAAACAAATCTACGCTTAGAATGGTAAGGTTTAAAAATAAAGGTACAAGGACTGGGTTTAGGATTCCCTCTTTAAAGCAAAAATCACTCAGACTTGTGACCTACGAAACATAAGCGAGATCTGTTTTAAATTAAATGTTCCATAAGAACATTTAGGAAGCAAATGGATGTGAGTCAGACATGGCACTTACTCATCAGTGTGGAGATGTTTCACAGTGCATGAAGGATTCTAGACAGCTGTCTGGAAGGAAAAGGACAAAAATCCATTGAAGGTTGCAAAGGCTTTGTAAGTCTTGTAAGTGCAATAGATTGCTGTCTGACTAAATAGCAATTTGATACTGTTTCTGGTACAGAAAGGATAAAAATTCTTCAACTTTATAACATAACTTTCTCTGTCATGCTTTCCATTCTGTGCATTTGTCATTGTCCAATGCACGAATTTTTTTTATTGGCCCGTGGAGTGTGGGCAATGCTGGCTAGGCCAGCGTTTATTGCTCATCCTTAATTAGCTTTGAGAAGGTAGTGGCAAGCTGCCTTCTGAACTGTTGCAGTCATTGGGGTATATGGATGTGCACAGAACTGTTAGGAAAGATTTTTGAGATTTTGAGACAAAAACGGTGAAGGAGTGATAATACAGTTCTAAGTTAAGGTGATGTGTGACTTGTGGGTGGTGGGGTGGAGCGTGCAGGTGGTGGTGTTCCCATGTATCTGCCGTACATGTCCTTTTAGATGGCAGAGACTAGGGGATCGAAGCTGCTGTCAAAAATGCCTCAGTGAGTTACTGCAGAGCATTTTCTAGTTGGTATACACGGTGCTGCCACTGCACTTTGGTGGTGAAAGGAGTGAATGGATGATGATGGTGGATGCAATGCAAATCAGATGGGCTGTTTTTGTCCTGGATGGTTTTGAGCTTATTGAATATTATTCGAACTGCATCCATCCAGGAAAGTGGAGAGTATTCTATCACACACTCCTGCCTTGTGCCATGTACATGTTTGATAGGTATTAGGGAGACAGGTGAGTTACTTGCCGCAGAATTCCTAGCTCTGATCTTCGTTTGTACTTATAGTGTTTATAGGGTCATTCAATTCAGTTTCTGGATATTGGTAACCCCCAGGCTGTTGTTAGTGGGAGACTTAGCGATGGTAATTCCATTGATCGTCAAAAGGCAATGCTTAGGTTCTCTCTTATTGCAGTCAGACATTGCCTGATGCTTGTGTGGCATGAATGTTACCTGCCACTTATCAGCCAAAGCCTAGAACTAGTCTACATCTTATTGATATGGACACAGACTGCTTCGGTATCTGAGGAATGGCAAATGGTCCTGAAGATGTATAATCATTAGCAAACATCCTGACTTCTGACTTTATGATGGAGGGCACATCATCGATGAAGCAGATGAAAATGATTGGGCCTCGGACACTACCATGAGGAGCTCCTGCAGAGATATCCTGCAAATGAGATGATTTGACCTCCAACAAACATAACCATCTTCCTTTGTGCCCAGTAAGCCCCCAGCCAGTGAAGATTTTTGCCCTCATTTCTCACTGACTCCAGTTTTGTTTTGCCAGGAGTATGTTTTGTTATGGAGCACAATTCAACTGTACTATTGCCGAAATGTTGTCAGTGCCATAGCCTTTGCAGTATCCAATGCTTTCACTGATTTCACGTGAAGTGAAACAAATTGGTTGAATACAGCCATCTGTGAAGCTGGGAACCTTGAGATGAGGCTGAGGTAGATCAGACACTTAACTTGTCTGGCTGAAGATGTATACAAATATTTCACCCTCGTCTTTTGCTCAGCTCCCCCATTATTGAGGATGTTTGTGGAGTCTCCCCTTCCTCTTAGTTGTTTATTTGTTCACCACCATTCATGATTGAATGTGGCAGGATAGTAGAGCTTAGGTTCGATCTTTTTTTGGGGATTATCTTTAAACTGCTTACTAAATATTTTTTCTGCTGTTTGGCTTGCAAGTAGTCATGTTGTAGCTTCATCAGATTGACACTTCGTTGTTAGGTGTACCTGGCGCTGCTCTTTGGCTGCCTTCCTGCATTCTTCATTAAACCTGGATTGATCTCCCAGCTAGATGGCAATGGTTTATTAGAGGATCTGCTGGACCATGAGGTTACAGGTTGTGGTTGAATAAAACATCGATGCTGTTGATGACCCACAGCACCTTGTAAATGCCCAATTTTAGGTTCTCAGCTCTGTTCAAAGTCTGCTCCTTTTAGTGGTAGTACAATATAACTCAATGAGGTGATGGGATTTTGTCTCCAGAAGGACTATGTGGCTGTCATTCTACTGTCATGGAATGACACATCTGTAACAGTTGGATTGATCAGGACAATATCAAGTTCTTTTTTTTTCGTTGGCTCTCTCCCCATATGCAGTAAACCCAATCACACAGATATGTCCTTAATGATTCCTCCAGCTAGGCATGCAATGAACTACTCTTGGCATGGACAGTGAAATCCCCCACCCAGCGTACATCCTACACCCTCAACACCCTCAGTGCTTCCTCCATGTGGTGCTCAACATTGAAGAAGACTGATTTATCAGTGGTTGGGGAGGTGGGTGGCAGCAGTAGTAATCAACAGGAGGTTTTCTTGTTCATGTTTGACCTGAGACCATGTGACTTCATAGAGCCTAGCATCAATGTTGATAACTCTCTCAGGGCAACACCCCCTCAGCTGTAAACAAGTATGCCACTATCACTGGTGGGTCTGTCCTGTTAGTGGATGTTGTTAAAGTTGAAAGGGTACAGAAAAAAAAAGTTACATGGATGTTGCCTGGACTGGAGGGTTTGAGCTATAGGGAGATTCTGGATAGACTGGGATATTTTTCCCTGCAGTGTCGGAGGCTGAGTTGTGACCTTGGAATCATGAAGTCAGAGAGATGTACAGCACGGAAACAGACCCATCGGCCCAAATCGTCCATATCAACAGGTATCCTAAATTAATCTAGTGCCATTTGCCAGCACTCGGCCCATATCCCTGTAAACCCTTAAATGTTGTAATTGTACCAGCCTCCTCCACTTTCTCCGACAGCTCATTCCATATCCACACTATCCTTTGCATGGAAAAAGTTGCCCCTTGAGTCCCTTTTAAATCTTCCCACCACCCTCACCTCACCTGATACCTATGATTTCTAGTTTAAAACTCCCGTACCCTGGGGAAAAGACTTTGGCTATTCACCCTATCCATGTCCCTCATGATTTTATAAACTTCTATAAAGTCACCCCTCAGCCTCCAATGCTCCAGGGAAAATAGCCCCAGCCTATTCAGCCTCTCCCTATAGCTCAAACCCTCCAACCCCACCAACATCCTTGTAAACCTTTTCTGAACCCTTTCAAGTTTCACAACATCCTAACTAGAGCAGAGACACCAGAATTGAATGCAGTATTTCAAAAGTGGCCTAACCAATGCCCTGTACAGCTGCAACATGACCTCCCAACTCCAATACTCAATGCGTTGACCAATAAGCATACCAAACGCCGCCTCCACTATCCTATCCACCTGTGACTCCACTTTCAAGAAACTATGAACCTGCACTCTAACGTCTCTTAATTCAGTAAAACTCTCCAGTACCTTACCATTAAGTGTATAAACCCTGCCCTGATTCGCCTTTCCAAAATGCAGCATCACACATTTATCTAGATTAAACTTCATCTGCCACTCCTTGGCCCATTGGCCCCATCTATCATTGTACCCTGAGGTAACCTTCTTCACTATCCACGACAATGCAATAGTAATGGAATTGTCACTGTGGTGGGCTCTGGTAGCAGTAAGAGATGACAGAAGTGAATTAGCAGAAAGCATTGACCTGTTGATTCGACTTTACAGACCCAAGGCAAGTGGAAGCACCACAGCACCATCTATTGTGGAAATAAAGGCCAGCGGTAAGTATACCACACTGCCACCTACCTACGGAGCTGGATGTTGTTTTTGGGAGGTAAATAGATTGTGTCGAATTAATTATGACAGAAATGGGTTATGTGTGTGATTAAAAAACATGACAGAAATAGATACAATAATTATGTGCTACAGGAAGTAACTGCAACATTTGCAGGAAGTCGGTGTGTACAAGACCTTTAATATATTACAAACAGACCATCTACAGCAATGCACCTAGTCAATTGGATGATAGGCTGCTTTGTCGTTAGTACGATAGAAGAATATTACAGGAAATAAATACAATAGTTTCAGAGTTTGCACACTGAACAGAACCTTACAAATACATACTAGATAAAGTATGAAAAAGAAGAAATTGAAGAAATGTTTTAACCTGTGAAAGAAATATTGTGGCATTCCAGATATGAAAGTAACAGTGGATTGTCAGTAGAATTCTGTAATACCCTTCTGGAGGTTTCCCAGCCATATTGACAATGCTACTTCAGTTTTCACTGCATGTTGGAATAATTATGAATATTTGAAAGTTTGCCTTGGCATATCTTTACAATGATACAGATAAATATTAGCTCAGCGTCACAGCTATGCTGGCAGAACCTCTGTTTAGACTGACAAGTACCATTGACCATCTGAGCTCAAAATATTAATTTCTCATTTACTTTGTAATTTAGTGTATTTTTGTTTAAAAAATCAAAGTCTATTTGTTTGGGACATGAGTCAGATTTCCCTGTTTGAAAGTACAGTGCTATGAATTGTGCTGAATATCTGACATCTGATCAACAAAGTTTCTCTTAAATTCAACTATCCACGAAGTTTGTAACTGGAGTCCAAATTAAAGCCGAGCTATAAATTTATTCACAAGCCCATCTTTAATAAATCTTGTCTTGCAGCCTTCCTGAAACATGGAGGGTTAGTATAGCTTTTGAAGCTAGTTTCAGAAATTCCGACATTGAACTCACAAATAAATATGATGGGAATTGTAAATAATTATGACAGGTTGTTGTTGAATATTTTGTTTAGAACTGTTATCGTGGTGATATTTCTTGGCCAAAGATATTGAGGTCACCTGTGGACATTATTTGTGACTGAGTGTGTACAGGTGCAGGTTTTGAAGTAAGTTTCAATGTGGGTATATACATTAGCAAGTCTGTAGGTGTTTGTGAAAGTATATGTGCAGATGTGTAGGTGTATATGTGAGTGTACATGTTTGCAGGCATATAGGTGTGTATGAGCGTACACAGAAGTGTATGTGCACATATGCAGCTATGTGTAAGTGCAGGTAATGCACATAAAAACATTAAGAAATAGGAGCAGTACTAGATGAGACAGGGGAGTAGACAATTAGATTCAAGAGCTTGTAGTTCCATTCAATATGGTCAAGGCTGATCTCTTGCCTCAATTTAACTTTCCCAGCCATTCTCCAGATCATTTGTTCCCCTAAAATATATAAAATATGTTCAATGACTGAGCACAGCTGAGGTAGACAATTCCAAAGATTCACAATTCTTTTAGTTAAAGCAAGTTTATCTTCATTTCAGTTCTAAATGATTGACAACTTATCCTGCGACTGCACACCCCTGTTCTAGATTCCCCAGCTAAAGGAAACAACCCAGTGTCTATTAATACTGACTCAAATCTTTTCTCTCTGGGCACTGACTGCTGAGGTCTGTGTGCAGCAGAGAATTCTGAGACTGGAAGTCAGTGTCTTGGCCTGGCCTGCTGATCACACAGATGATTGTGTGTGGAACTTTGGAGGAAAATCAGTCGCGTTGTAGACGTGCAGCTTAGAGGAAAACACTGGTGTCTACTGTTAAGCCTTTTCAGAAACTTGTACATTTCAACAAGTTCACTTTTTTTTTGGAATACGGACCCAATTTAACCAACAGTGGACAACCCTCTCATTTAAAGGATCAATCTAGCAACCTTTGCTGCAAAACTTCCAAGGCAAAGTGTAGGCTTCCTTAAACATGAAGACCAAATGGAGTCTCCAGCAGTGCACTCAGATCCTGTGCAGACCAGCAGGTGGGACTATTCACTGATGTCTTCAGATCGAAGGGTTAAAGTCCCCATCTGCTTCAAGAAGACCACTGTCATCCCAGTGCCAAAGAATGATCATGCAGCGTGCCTCAATGACTACTCCCTGGTGGCTCTGACCTCCATAATTATGAAGTACTTTGAGAGGTTAGTCATGGCTCACATCAACTCCAACCTACCAGATTGCCTTGATCTTGTGCAATTCACCAATCCAGTGCAACAGGTTCACGGCAGAATCCAGCTCCCTGGAAAATCTGGATAACAAGGATACCACTTCAAGGTCCTGCTTATTAACTACAGATCCGTCTTCAACACCATAATTCCAAACAAACTCATCTGCAAACTCGGTCTCGGCTCCCCTCTCTGCAACCGGATCCTCGATTTCCTGATGCATTGATCACAATCAGTAAGAATAGGCGACAACATCTCCTCCACCATAATCCCCAACACCAGTGCCCTACAAGGCTGTGTACTCAGCCTCGTCCTGTACCCCTTATACACTCACGACTCTGTGGCCAAATTCCACCCCAACTCCAGTTACAAACTTGCTGACAACACCTTTCTTGTGGGTTGGATCTCACGCAATGATGAGTCAAAGTATAGGAAAGAGACTGAGTTCTTAGCGGCACGATGTAAAGACAACTATCTTTCCATCAACATCTGCAAAACGAAGGAGTTGTTCATTGACTTCAGGGAGTTTAGTGAGGGGGACACCCCTGTCTGTATCAATGGTGCTGAGGTGGAGGTGGTCAAGAGCGTCAAGCTCCTAGGAGTGATATCGCCAACAATCTGCCCAGGTCCACCAACATCGATGCAATGGTAAAGGAAGCACAACAATGCCTCTACTTCCTCAGAAGACTAAGGAAATTTGCCATGTCCACAAAGACTCTTATCAATTTTTATAGATACACTACAGAAAACATCCTATCTGGATGCATAACATTGTGATATTGCAACTGCCCTTCCTAAGACCTCAACAAACTACAGAGAGTCATGAACACAGCCCAGTCCATCATACAAAACAGCCTTCCACCCAGTGACTCCGACCATACTTCCTGCTGCCTTGGGAAAGCAACCAACATAATCAAAGAACCCTATCACCCTGGTTATACTCTCTTCCACCCTCTTCCATCAGGCAGAAGATATAAACGTTCGAACACATGTTTGAACAGATTAAAGAACAGCTTCTTCCCTGCTGTTATCAGACTTTTGAATGGATCTCTCAAATGTTAATATTTATCTCTTTTTCTCTCTCTCTCTGTCTGTGCACCTTCCCTGCAGCTGTAACGGTGTATTCTGCACTCTGTTCTGCTACATGAGACACTTTGTTTGGTACAATCTGTCTGTTGAATGTGCAAAAAAGCACTTTTCAGTTTATTTTGGTGCGTGTGACAACAATAAAATCAAATTAAATCAAAGCTGCACTACCTCTGATGTGGTCCAGCAAAGCCTTATACAATGAAAACAATATTTCCCTGTTGTTGTAACTCCAAGTAATAAAGGGCAACATGGCATTTTCCTTCCTAATCGTACGCTATCTTTCTGTGTTGCTTGTGTGAGTACACCCAATGTCTCTGTACAATATATTCTGCTCTTCCATTCTTACTAGCAAAGTGAATAACCTGAGATTTTCCCACACTATACTTTATCTACCATCTTGTTGCCCACTCAATTAACCTGTCTATATCTGTTTAAGAGATAACAAGGTGTAGAGCTGGATGAACACAGCAGGCCAAGCAGCATCAGAGGAGCAGGAAGGCTGACGTTTTGGGCCGAGACCCTTCTTCAGCTGTTTAAAGCTACTCAGTGTCTTTCTCACAGCTTTAGATTCCCACCCAGCTTTGTAACATCTGCAAATCTGAATACATTACACTTGATCTCTTTGTCTAAATCTTTAATATAGAAAGTAAGTATCTGTGGCCCCAGTACAGATCCTTATGGCACTCCACTAGTTAGAGCCTGCCAACTTGAAAATGTACCATTTACCCCTATTCTGTTTCCTGTCCATTAACCCGTCCTCTGTAATATAACGCTTGATGCCATGAGTCCTTATCCATAATAACATTTTATGTGGGTAAAGTAAAGGGTTAGGGTGAGTGACATAACAGGGTAGTGTGTCAGGTGACTGAGTGGTAGGGTGGCAGATGGCCGAGATGGATAGATAGATTGGAGTAGGTGGGTCAGGTTATGAAAGGAGTTAGGTTAGGTCACAGGATGGTCAGGCTGGTTCAGTTGGTGGAGTTGGGTGGTGGTATCTGGCCGAGTGTTTATATTTAGGAGTGGAAAAAGCAATAACATCTGTCACAAAATGGTTTTTGAAAATGTTCATCCATTTTGTTTTGTCAGCTATTGACAAAAGTTATGACAAATATGTAGAGCCCTGGAATCCCTTGAGAACTGACGATGGCCGTTTACACTGTATCTCCAGAGTTTCAGTGGTCCTTCCAACAGGGTGCTAGTGAATGTATCAGATAATCTGAGAAGAATTTACCTTTCAAATTCTTAATTTAACAAATGTACAAAATGTTACATTGCCCATTCAATGTCATTAAACTTATTTATGCAATTACTTACACTATATTTTAAAACTCTCTTACAATGATTCCCTCCAGAGAGTGCCCATCATGAAATCTCTGAGACTTGACTTAATAGAGCTTCCCACAGCTATTACTATGGGAACTATCTTCCACCCTTCATAAATTGGTTAAATATGGAATACTACAGCTTCTGAAGTACCTGACAGTTGTGTGCACAAGCATTGTGTGATTACAACTCCAGGATTTAATTAAGTCTGATTGCCTTCTGAATAACAATGAACAACATCATATTTTGGAGTGAAGTGGAATGAATCTAATATGCCGGGGGTGTTTATGACAGCTCGAAAGGCAATTAAAGAATATACTAGTACTTGCTTTTTATACTCTGCTCTCCTCATTTCCACACACAGGGATTTAGA